TCCCTAGTACTAAAAAAAAAAAAAAGGAAGAAAAAGAAAACCACTCTTAAAGTGTTTCCTCTTTCTAAATTCTTACTGTCCACCACAGATGGAGCAGACTTCATTTGATACTAATTTCATCCAGGGATCTGGCCAGAACCTGCCAGAACCTCCCCAAGTCAGCATATAATCTCAACTTGGAAGAAGCCACAGAGAACTCTGGGTTTTCCCAAACCATCTTCCAAAGACCTTCAAGGCCACCAGTGTGAAGGTGAAATGTGGGTAGGATGGTGCCAAATGAAACCACCAGGGACCCCACCCCACCTCAGCCAAAGTTTTGTTTTTCTTTCTCTTGGGCTTTTTTTTTGGCTGCGGGTGTGTTACGGTATTGAACTCAGGGGCACTCAGTCACTAAACCATATCCCCAGCCCTATTTTGTATTTTATTTCTGAGTTGCTTAGTGCCTTGCTTTTGTTGAGGCTGGCTTTGAACTTGTGATCCACCTGCCTCAGCCTCCTGAGCTGCTGGGATCACATGCATGTGCCACCACCCCCAGCTTTTCTTGGGCTTTTGTGCAAGATCTCACTTGGATTCTTGAGGAATCCTTTTGTGGAAAATAAAGGTAAATTTTAAAAATAATACAGTTTTTAAAAGGGTTGGAAACCACTACTATAATTCAAGCCTCCAGTTTACAGATTAGGTTCCAAAAGGGGAGGCATCTTTGCTCCAGAGCACACGGCAAGTCTGTGCTGGTGAAAACAGCCCCAGCTGTGCCACATCTGGCTTCACACCTCGCCTCCCACCCAGGTCAGGATGCCTCCCTCCATCCCAACAGTCTTCCTCAGAAAATAAAAACCAATTTTAATGTGTCAGCAAAATCAGCCAAGTCAACATTCTTCCCTCCATCCAGCAAAAACAGGTATATTATCAGCTCAGTCTTAAGGGTTAAGCCCATCTTCAGCTCCAGCACACTCCTCCCTGCCCACCATTTTGCCTTTGTAGTAAGTGGCAGAGACCATTCTTTGGGGCAGACCACACATAAGCCCCATGGAACCCAAGTGTGGTAAGGAGTTCTTCAGGGACTAGTCTAACTCTGAGCATCTTCGCCTCTCATCTGCAGACCCGCTTTGCAGCCCTGGTCAACCTCCCCAGGCTGCTGCAGGTTGCGGAGGTTGCAGTCTTGATACCCTGAAGGCAGAAGAGGGTGAGGAACTGCAGCTGCTACCTGGCCATGCTTTTGGAAGCAGGGGATGCTGACAAGGGGCTCCAAACATATCACACTCCTAAAATAAGTACTATAATGAGAAAAAAGTGGAGTCCATCTGTGAAAACAGGTCACCCATGGGGTACCAGTGTGGAGCACCTAACCTAACAAGAGGAGAGAAAGGTGAAAAGGGCTTGGAGTTCCCTAGCTTCATTTCTGCTGGTCAGAGGCCCTCAGGAGTTAGCTTGGGGCCCCAGATAATGTGGAATTCCAGGGAAAGACAAAGGATGCAAATTAGGAGACCTAGAGCAAAAGCTGATTCCAGACTGAACAGAAACCCTCAGCGATACCCAAGTTATCAGAATGACGGCTCACTGGGGTAGGGGTCGGGGGACAGGTAATGATGGGAAAGGTATCTAAAACTAGAGACTAGGAATGAAGGTAAGCCCAGACAGTGTCACATAGGAAGGGCAGAGAGAGAAGTCCTATTGGAAACAAGAGCCAGCCCCACCCAGTCAGGCCATGGCCCAACCTACCAATCGGCCTCACTACCTCGGCCCCACATAAGGTCCTCAAGCTAATCATTCTCACCCCTACTTCTGCATGTCCTCTTTCAGCCACAGGCCACACTGCTCCTCTTCTTCCCTCCACTTGAGTTCTATTGATGCTCCTGCCACCCTCCTAGACCAGCCCATCCCTTAATAATAAACACTTTCTTACTGGGGTGAGGAGAAGGTGGGCAGCAAGAGGGGGTTACCACCAAGGGTCAGACCTTGGGCTAGGATGATTTGCACGGATTCTTCCGCTGAACACTGTCCCCACCCCTTCCAGGTTTGTAATTATAGTCTGCATTTTATAAATAAGGAAACAGAAGCTCAGGGGCAGGTTCAAACTGAGGTCCTTTAACTCCCAGTTTTTTGCTGACCTATTGCCTTGACTCTGAACTCCAGAGGCTGTGGCTTCTGGCCCCATAGGCCTTGATTCTTGTAAGTACACTACAAAAACCAGGTGTACACACGTGGCCTATGAGAGGGACTTTGGTGGATCTGAAAGCACTCTAGTTCCTGATCTGGAGGATGATTATCTAATGGGTTCACTCTGGAAAGGTCACCAAATTATAACTCAAAATTTTACATTTACAACATGTACACTTTTCTGAATGTATAAAATATGCCCCCCACATGTAAAAAGCTTATTTAAAAAAATAGCCACACTTGGGCTGGGGTTGTAGCTCAGTGGTAGAGCAATTGCCTCGCATATGTGAGGCACTGGGTCGATCCTCAGCACCACATAAATAAATAAAATAAAGGTATTGTGTCCACTTACAACTAAGAATATTTAAAAAAAAATAGCCACATCTAAATGGGAGAGACACATTTATTTAAATGGATGCAGATGCAGCTGTAATTTACTAAGCACAAATTCATTCAAGCGGGTGTTTCTGAAATGAGAGTGACTGGTTTCCCATTACACATTTGGTCTATCAACAGATACTTGGAGCACAACTAGGGTTAGGAGGTGCCGCGATGTGTGGTATCAGAGAGGGGTCAGCATGTTTGGGGTCCAGAGACTTACGTGCTCAGACCCACCCTGCCCCCACCAGTGTGTGCACAACATGAGGACAGCACACCAACTCCCCACCTTGGCAGGAGGAGTGTGAAGCACCCTCAGCAGTAAGCAGTCAGGGCAGGTCAGTGTCCACCACGGCTCCTCAGCCCAGAGGGTGGGCATGGCATTGAGTAAGCAGGGAATGGAGGAAGTAGAACTGTACAGCACTTTCCCACGCTGCCCCCACCCAAATTTAGCTGGGGCCCAGCCCTGCTGAGCAGGGGGCAGGAACTTGCCCCACTTTCACCAAGAACATCTCCACCCATGGGCCTCCACGCCCCTCCTGTGGGGTGGGCAGAGGGAGTAAGCTTTGCTTCCTCCCACCAAAGAAGTAGCCCCGGGAGCTTCCCCTCCTCAGCCCCAGGGCCCATTGCCAGCCCTGACCTGGCCACTTCCTCTTCCTGCTCTGGCAGTGGGCAGGGAGATTTGTGCTGTGGGCAGGGAAGAGCTGAGAGCTACCTCAGGGGCTTCCCATGGGCAGCTGTGGGAACTGGAGGTGAAGGGTCAGGCCGAGACCTCTGGCTCTGATCTCCTGGCCCTCTCCCAAGCCCTGCCATGCCCACACATGTGGTCACCTCCCCACAAAACAGGCTCCCAAGGATGCAGGCAGGTTAGCCACTACTCCCTCCACACACAACGGCTCTTGTCAGGGGCAAAAGGTGAAAGAGCTATCAGAAGTATCTTATACCAGAGGCTAGCAAGCCTGTTGTGTGACCTAAGGTCAATCCCTTGCCACCTCCAAGACTCTTTCCTCATCTGCCCAGTGCAGAAACATGGTAAGTCACGGTAGCAGGAGAAGTGAATTCACTAATAATGCAAGGGAGATTCTCAACATTGAAATGGAGTGCTGTCAGGGTCCTGGACTCCAGGGACCTGCAGCAGAATCCCAGTACTGGCAGGGAAGGCAGGGAAGGACAGAACACACCAAGGACCTCAGCTAGACTGGGCAGTCAGCAGTTAGAGATAAACAGTAACCTCATCCCCACTTCTCTCCCTCACGGCTAAGTGAAAGGAAATAAGAGTGTGCCCAGATGAGTTTCTACCCAGTACTGGGAAAATTCCAGGCTCTGTATGCAGCAAGTACTCAATTAATGCTCTGGTGAAAGCTGAAGTCAGGGTATGGCCACAGAGGCTATCTTCAGAGCAGTCATTTCTCTACCCCACCTCCTTAACATACAGCACATAGAAATAAGGTCAGACTTTAGGAAAAACAGCCATTCAGAGCTAGAAAGCATAGACAAGAGTTCCTCTGAGAAAGGTTGCCCCATGCCCCGACACTCCTCAGACTGGCAACCTTTTTATGCCTCAGTCTGTTCAGCTCCTGGCATCTCACCCCTTGGAGGGTCTCCCAGAACCCTGCAGACTATCAACACCCACCAAATTCCCTGCCCCAACCCAAGGTCTCCACCCAAGCCTCCATGGGCAAAACTTCAAATTCCAAAATAAAAACCCTCTGATAACAAGCTCCAACCGGAAAGACTGATGCACTTTCCTATTGTTAAAGTATTTTTAGTCATAGCCTCTGGATTTGTTTAGAGACTCACGTTCAGAAAGGGGAAAAAGAATTTTTTTGAGAACTGAGAGGGAGAACATGAGAGCCTCCCACGTAAGGAGCTGCTGCTGATTCGGTGCTGGGCCAAAGCCCCTGGCCCAGGGCCCAGGGAGCATGTCTGTAGCAGGCTGGTTCAGGGACTTGCCAGGCCTCGCTCTAGTCCTGCTTCTCAGGCACCAAGAGCAGCTAGGAAGAGGTATGGACAAGGAGGATGAGCCTGGTGAGGTTCAGCAGGGAGCACAGCCCCAACCCAGCCACTCAGTCCCAAGCAGGGGGCTCAGAGACCCTCCCTGAGGTACTCTGCTGGTCACCACACTCACTCCAGCCTCTCTCTCCTGCCTGAGCAGACTGGTGCCTCAACCAGGACAGGTGGACTGAAGAAGACAGTTGAATCCCTGGGGACAATCTCTGAAAAAGGAGAGAGCGCTGTCACCTGTTTCCACAACTCTTAGTTCCCAATCACAGAGTATACCCAAATCCAACTGCTACCACCCAACTGTGGCCAAGCTGCACTCTCACTCCTGGGGGCAGTGGGCCACCCATGCCTCCTCCCTTCTCCCTCTTCTCAAGGCCAAAGGGTTTGGCAAGACAGTGACAATGGAAAAAATCCAAACTGCCGAGCTACCCTGCCTCAGTGTCCCCATTCTCAAGACTCACCCGTTTTTCTCTTCTGGATCTGCTTCGACCCTCAGAGATCCTGAACGACAGAGGAAGAATCCAGGGATGGTGGGGACTCTGCGAGCAGCCACAGGGAGGCCTGCGGGGAGAGCTGTGGTAGCCAGGGCAGCCTGTCCTCCCCCACTGAGGCTGTGCAATGGCTGAGCGGGCTCTGGATGTGGAACTGTCTCCAAGCCAGCTTGTCCTCCTCTGTTTATATAGCAGAAACCAGAGCCGGCCTCTGGGGATGAGGGGAGCCGCCTCGGGGCCCTCTTGGCTAGGGCTTGACTTTGGCCCAGGTCAGCAAGAGCCCAAAATAGTCAGCTGACGGGAGCCCCAGTGAGCGTGACCCTGGGCCTATGCCCAGGCCTGGCAGACAGGTGCCCACGTCACAAGACTAACAGCTCTAGCACTCATGGGGCCCTGGTTGGCAGCCCCTCAGGGTGGCCTTGGCAGCGTATTCAGCATGGGAATTCCACCCAATCACCACCATCACCCAGACAACAGGGTAAACACAAGACATTCTGCCCACCAGGGCTGCTGTGTACCCAGAGGCAAGGTGGGCTGCTCAGGAAGCCAGGTCAGAGCTGGGGGTAGCAGTGGGAGCCGAGTGGAGGGAGGCAACTGGCCAGTGCTGTCATCCTGACTCACGTGCTTCCCAAGTCCAGATCTCTGGATGACCAGGGACACCTGCTCCTTCCACTTACAGTAATTCCTCTCCGTGTTGTTCCCAGCCCAAGGTTGGTGGCACGGAGCCTGCTGCCAGCAGGAAGCCAGGTGCATACTCAGCCCAGCTCCCAGCACCAGAAGCCCTGCTTCCCAGGGTGTCCCCTCCTTCCACCCAGACTCGCCCTGTCCTCTCATCACAGCCACTTCTCTGGGACTCTCTTCACCCTGAACACCAGCTTTGCACAAGGCAACGGTGCTATGGGTAGATGCCAGGGGGAGAGCTGGACCAGCTCCTGCTTCATCTGAGTTCACCCAACACTGAGGAGGCTATTGCTCAGAGATGACTCTTTGCCCCATGGAAGGGGGGAGTCCAAGGACCTACATCCAACTCCCTCAGACATAATAACCTGTTCTACAGTGCCCAGTGCCCCTTCTAGTACCTCAGGTCCCCAGGGAAGGGCCTGGTGGAAATCCCGTCCCCTTACCCACTATTATAGTTTGGATGTGAGGTGTCCCCCAAAAGCTCATTGTGAGACAATGCAAGAAAGTTTAGAGGAACAGCAATTGGTTATGAGAACTTTAATCCAATCAGTGAATTAATCCCCTAGTTCTAACTGAGTTCTAATTGAAGGTGGTTAGGGTGTGGCTGGAGGAGGCGGGTCATTGGGGGCATGACTTTGGGGTATATATTTGTATCTGGTGAGTGGAGTCTCTCTCTGCTTCCTGATGATCATGTGAGCCACTTTCCTCTGTCACACTCTCCTGCCATGATGTTCAGCCTTACCTTGAACCCCAAGAAATGGAGACTACTGTCTACGGACAGAGACCTCTGAAACTAGGAGCACTTAAATAAACTCTTTTTCCTGTACAATTGTTCTGATCAGGTCTTTTACTCAAGCAGCAGAAAAACTGACTAAAATACCTATAAACCAGCTTGGGCCTTCTCTGGAAGTACCCTCAGACAAGGAAGGTTGTCCTCCACCATCACAAGACAGCCCTCTAGGCTTGGCTTTCCATATCCTCATCACAGAACCTTAGGAAGTCGTTTTTCCCCTGGGTAATAGAAGCAGGGGGTGAGTTAGATGGCCAAGAAACCCCTTGGCCATAGCCACAAGTCAGGATTTTCCTTCTCAATGATATTAGATGAACAGTGGAGGGTCTGTCCCTTCCTCCTCATTCATAGAGGCTACTTCTCCATACACAGACTCCACAGGACCTATGGGTCTGCCATGGTGACAAGGGGTGGTCACCTCCCTTTTGGGGAGGAAGAAGTGATCCAGGACTTCCTTTCAGGTACTCTCCTGATACAGTCTTTAACCTGGATAAAGGTCAGCACCCACCACAATGTTTACACTCACCCCCAGACTCCAGTCCTGAGCTGCTGCCTCAGCTTCCTGGAACCAGGTTCATCCTGCCTCACCAGCCCATGTCACCTGGGCCCAGAGCCTCCAGCCCATCTGTTAAGAAAATAAGGCTTCCCCAACCCCACCCCCACATCACCCCCAACTCTGAGGAAATCAGATCTTCCCATGCTGAGCAGCGCCTCGCCTGTTACCTCTACAGGGCTTCCCCCTCCAGTCCCCAAACCACATCTGTTTTGGGGCAGCTCCACAACCACCTCTGCCCCCCAACCCCACTTGCTCTAGGTCTCAGGGGTGCACAAAGGACAACAGGCACTTACCATTCTGGATGGACAGGTAGCACTCACACCATCTCCTTGGCCTTCAGGGCCTGGCAGAAGGAGCCAGGCTACCAGGGAGGGGCTGGGGCCAGCCTCTGTCCATGGTAGAGGCCTATGAAGGGAGAGTCAGTATGAGCAAAGACAAACCAGCCAGCAGAGACGTCCCCTGGATCAACACAGTCAGGCAACACAGGAGGGGGAATGACCCAGCCCAGGACCTCCCTAGGCTGGTAGCCTGACAGCCCACACCCAGGCAATTAACTCTAGGAGGGTGGTGTGGGGGTGGCAAAGAGCTACAGAAATCACTGAGGCATCTCAGAGCCAGAGATCCACAGGCCCACTGAGCCCCTCAGGCACTACCCCCCTCCTGGGTTGCGAAGAAGAGCACCTGGTAGGCAGAGAGAAAGGAGCTGTTTGTGAGGACAACGCAGATTTCCCTCTTTCCTTAAGGGATTCTAGCCCAGCCCTGGAAGCCTCCCAAGGGCAAGGTCTTATGCCCCACCTCAGGCAGCCCAGCTTTCCACATACTGTGGCACTCTCAGGAGATGGGACTCCAGCCCCCAAACAGGAAGGCCAACTTAGGGTAGAGTGGTTAAGAGTCCAGATGCTAGCTGGGCACAGTGGCATGCACCTATAATCCCAGCGGCTCGGGAGGCTGAGGCAGGAGGATCATTGCCAGCCTCAGCAATGGCAAGGCACTAAGCAACTCAGTGAGACCCTGTCTCTAAGTAAAATACAAAATAGAGCTGGGGATGTGGCTCAGTGGTCAAGTATCCCTGAGTTCAACCCCCAGTACCAAAAAACAACAACAACAAAAAAAAAAAAAAAACAAAAAAACAAAGAATTCAGATGCTGTATCCCAGACTGGGTTCAAATCTTGGCTCTCCACTTGCTGCCCGAGGAGAATTACATAATCTCTTGGGCTTAGTGGTAGAGCACTTCTGCATGGCATGCATGAAGCCCTGGGTTCCATCCCTAGCACTGCAAAAAAAAAAATTTTTTTAAATAATAAAAAAAAAAAACTTTGCTACACATTTCCCACCAATAACAATGACAACCTGAAATTACCTCTCTAAAATTAACAATCAGGGCATCAGGCTTAAAATGAGTTAATATGTTTAAGGGACTTGGAAAGTTACGGATACACATGTGCTACGTATCATTATGAGGAGAAATTAAACAAGGATACACAAAAGCTAACCGCAACCCTGGTTCCTATTCCAAGCCACCTCTGGGCAGTCGGTCTCTCCTTCCTTAAGCCAAATATGTATGCCACCCTCCAGCCTCCTGAGTTCTCCCCCTAACCCCACTGGTGCCAAAGACACCCTCAGCCAGGGCACCCTCACCCTGCACCTCCCCTTCTCTTCTCCCACCCTTGCTCAGCGCTTTCTCTTCACGGGTCACAGAGTCAGGGCAGGACCAGCCAAGGCACTGGCTGCTGAATTATGCTTTGAGTTGAAATGAGATCTGGAAAAAGAGAAGTCTATGTTCCCATAATGGGAGATGAAGGAGCAGGGAGGAAGAAGGATCATGGGCTTCCTTGTGCTCATGACCTCTGCCCCAGGTTCACAGGCTAAGGGAAGCTCCTCCAGCACATGGTACTCAGGCCCTCCCTTATAAAGCTACCAGCACCCCTCATGTGCCTGTGGGTGTAACAGCAGCAGGAAGTGAAGGGTACAGAAGAGGAGGAGGGAAGGGAGGGCAGACTGGAGCAGCAAGAGCACTTCCCGCACAGAAAGCAAACAAGGCTTCACATCTGCCCCAGCCTATGTGCTGCCTGCTTCCCAGGATGACAGGGTCACACACCCAAACCCCAGAAATAGGTCTGTAGGTTCCCCAACCTCCCCAGCTGGGCAGGAAGAGTAGTAGTAGCCAAACATAAACTACTACCACCTGAAGGTCCTCCCCACCTCTAAGAACAGGGCCAGAGCCAGCACCTAGCCAGTGCCAGAAAGAGGGAGGAATCTCAACATCGCAGAACAGGTATCCGATCACATCTTCTGCCCCAGATCAAAATTCCATCTTCGACAGTCATAGCTCGAGCAGTTACTGAGAACCTACTGTAAAGCAGGCAGTGTGCCATGAACCAAGAAGCAGCAAACTAAGATCCAGGGCCCTGGGAGTTCAAACTGAGGGAGTAAACCAAGGTGGTTACAATCAACCCCATGCAGAGGGGAAGCCCAGGCATGAGTGGGCTGGAAGGAGGAGAAAGTGTTCCCTCCCCAAAGGAGTAGCACATCAGGCCAAACTTCAGTAGCCAGTTCCTGCTCCTCTTCCCCCAGAAAGTCACTTTCCCATGTCTGGCTACTTGGCACCAACCCATTAATCAGGTCTCCATTCCCATCTCACCTCCTCAAAAGAGTCTCATGCCCCACACTAACCTGTTTCACCCTCTCCATGGGACTAATGTTCATTTGCTCATGTTGTCTGTCTCGACACTGCAGCCTTCTGTCTCAATCATGCTCAGCACCAGCAGGTGCTCAGTGTTGGTGGAATGGGGGAAGGGAGGCCCACACAAGCCAGTATGAGAGCTGGGTTGGAAGACAGGTCAGCAAGGTGGGGAGACAGTGCCATCGAAGGGTCTATTCCTTGCATTCTGGAGTAGACTCGACAGACTAGTTCTTCCTCATCTTGAATGAAGAGCCTCCAGCCCTGGATTCCAGGTCCACTTCTGCATGAATCCACTGGAAACATCCTTCTAGTTCTTTCTATCAAGTATTTTTTAGTTGTAGTTGAACACAATATCTTTATTTTATTTATCTATGCGATGCTGAGGATCGAACCCAAGGCTCGCATGTATGAGGCGAGCGCTCTACCCCAGCCCCTTGAGTCTTTTCTTAACCTAACTCCCCCCTTGCAACATGACACAGAGAACAAGACCTTTTGCAACTGGTGGCCTCATGGGCACCAGTTCTGCATTGTCCAATGCCCCCACCTGGAAATAAACATACTACTATTAAAAATTACAACAGCAGCTAATATTTGTTGGGTAGCATGTGCTAGATAAATTACTAAGCACTTCATGCATTTTCTCATTTCAGCTTTACAACGTCATGAGGAAGGGTTTATATTATTCTTTTTTTTAACCTTTATTTATTTACTTTTATGTGGTGCTGAGGATCGAACCCAGCACCTCGAACGTGCCAGGCGAGTGCTCTACCGCTGAGCCACAACCCCAACCCAGGTTTATATTATTCTACACATTTCATCTATGAGGTAACTAAGACCAGGAAATATTCAGAAATTTGCCGAAGGTCGCACTTCTAGAAATGGCAAAGCAAGGGGGCCCTCCTACCCCTTCTTGGACCTGTACAGCAGAAAGGCCTCTGATGGCACAGAAAGTCTGACAGTCCCCACCCATGAGCAGGTGGGCAGCTGGGGCCTGAGTTGGTGGGCCTCACAGGGTTTGAACCCCTGAGCTGATTTTCTTACCTCCAGTACTGGCCTCAACAATTCTCATCAGTCACATTCATCTTGTTGGTCTTGGCCCATCCTTCTGCCCAGACATCGTCTAGAGTCTTGATTTTATCGAACTGTACAGTTGTCATTCCTCCCATCTCTGGGTCACTAGAGTCAGCTGGCTTCCTTTTTAAGTAGTATCCCAGTCACTGATCTACATGTTCACTTGGAGTAGATCTAGTATCAAGCCTTGGGGCCCCACAGAGCCTCAGTCCAGGCCCATCCACACCCTTTGGGTATACTTGTTTAGCATCTACCTACCATAGATAGCCTGGCCTGCGTTTTCCCAACATGCCCATAATACTAGCCCCAACTCAAATTCAAAATCACTCAAATCACCTCTGCAGCTTTCCTCCTCCGTCCACCTAGAAATCTATGAAAAACAGGCATAAAAACCGAACGTGCCCAAGTTAAGGAAGGAGTTGCACCCTGCCCTCAATAAGGACCATACTCTGGAAGTGCCGCTCTCCCCAGTAAAGCCACTGTCAGGAGAGAATGGGTTGCGGCAGAATACACGCCTGGGAGACACGGACCGAGGCCAAACCCCAATGGCGCGCCTGAGTGCATGGGACCCTCCCCGGGTTCGGACGCTCCCCTCAGACCCCCGAAGGGGTTGCACTGCACACTGCCGGTCGGTCCCTCCGGGCTGGGTCTGCTGGCAGCGGGGATCCCGAGCTCCTGGAACCCGTTCCCCGCAGCCGGCGGGGAAATGGAAGGAATTTCTCTGGCCTGGCCACTTCCAGCGCCCCTCGCGGGCCAAACCCCACCCTTGGCGGGCTGCGGAGCTAAAGCGCTGGCCGTGGCGCTCGGGGCTGACTCGCAGCCAGCAGGTCCCGCTGGGAATCCAGCCCCGCTCCCTCGCTCCCCAGTTTCCAAGCAGGACTCCCAGCGTGGCTCCGAGCCCGCCCTGGGCACCCGCAAAGGCCGCCAGACCCCCGGCCTCTCCCCGGGGCCCTCACCTGGCCCGGCGGGCTCGGCTCGCCTGTCCACCCCCGCTATCCCGGGTCGTGCCCCGGCCGGCGGGGAGCTGCTCTGCCCGGGCGCCCATGGCGGGCCGGGGGTCGCGGGCGTCGCGCCGAGCCCCTCCAGTTCCGCCGCTGCCGGCGACCCGCGCTCCAGCCGCCGCGCCGCCCCGCGCCCCCGGCCCGGGAAGCCCCCCGCCCCGCAGTTCCGGCCGCGCCCCCCGCCCCCGCGGCCCGCGGCCGCCCGCGCCGTCCCGGTCCCGGCGCGCCTCCCCCGGCAGGCGGGCGGGCGGGGACAGTGACGCGCGCCCATTGACGTCTCCGGAATCCCGCCGCCGGCGGCCGACGCAGCCTCATCAATGGGGCTAAAAATAGCGACGCCCGGAATAGCCGCAGGCGCCCCGCCCCACGCCCCCCCCAACACACACCCGCCGCACACCCTGTTACATAACCTGCCTCGCCGAGGCCGGGCTGGGGGAGCTGTTTCCAGGTGAGGGTTCTGAGGCCTTGCTAACGGAGCCCGAGGCAGCAGACTTACAAATAAACTTCACTCGGGGCTTCCCCTAAGCGAGAGGTGGAAAAAAGTAATTAATGCCCAGAGAGGCGCGGCGGCGACCCAATGTCACACAGCAGTTAAGCTGCTTGAGAGGACTGGGCCCAGGCTCTGAGCCTGTGGATGCCCCACGGTGGC